GCTTCTGCTACCCTGTGAGGCTGAGCAGAGGAGGCCGGGCCCAGCTCAGGGGACAGGCCTGAGAGGAGATTTGGATCTGCATGTCCCCTGAGTTATGCGATGTTCAGACCTGGGGGCCTGATTTGGGCCCCTCCCTAGCCTTGAGGGATGGTGACTTTTACCTTTCCATTGTCACATATCCTCTCAGGCTAGGCTGTCCTCAGAACTCACTAGCTAAGCAAGGGGCAGGGGAAAAGGCCAGGGTGTTTTGTGTATGAGATGGAGTGGAAACCTAGTGCCCTGGGCAAAGACAACATTTACATCCCACCTTCCTAAAATCCTCACCTGCAGTTTCAAGTTATTCCTCACTTCCCCTCCTCAAAATGGCCATTACTGATGGAAAATGGCTGCTGCATCCTACCCTAGGGATGGCTGCATGGTAGTGGGGGGCAAGTGATTCCTGTAGACACCATTTGTAAAGTGCTTTGGGATCCTCCAGGAGAAAAAGCACAATGTGTGTGTGAAATTATTAGTTTGTTAATCACAGACCTGAAACAAACCCTTTCTACAGAACTAGAACCCAGATGTGGATCTCACCCTGGACTGTCATTAAATTAAGCGACAAATAGCACAGGCAATATGCAAATTGGGTTACAGGATTGGAGACGCACACTTGACTTTCTTTCTTCACCTCTCCTCTTTCGTCATTAAAATTCTCGAGGTTGGTTCTTTGTTTTCAGAAGGGTCATTTTAGCTGATTTCCATGGGGACCCCTAGTTTATCTGATTTCCAAGGGAACCTCAAAGGCAGCACCAGCTTTTCCCCAGGCTGGGGGGAGGGGAAGGCACATGGAAAGTCAATAGGAATGGGTGGAAACTAGGAAACCACAGTAGTGGGTGATGATGGGGACAAGTTTATGTAAACAAATTAAAACAAACAAGAGCTTTGGCCGGGATCTTACTCCCCAGCTTCGGGGCACACACTGGCTTGGTCTACACTAGGACTTTAATTCGGATTTAGCTGCCTTAATCCGAATTAACCCTTCACCCGTCCACACTACAGAGCCAGTTAATTCGAATTAAAGGGCCCTTTAAATCGATTTCTGTACTCCACCTCGACGAACGGAGTAGAGCCTAAATCGATTTTGTTAATTCGAATTAGGGTTAGTGTGGACGCACACCACCGAATTACTGTATTTAAGTTAATGGGGTAGTGTGGCCGCACACCACCGAATTAATGTGGTTTAAAACCGAATTAAGGTGCTTAGTGTGGCCGCGCACAATCGAATTTATACAACCTGTTTCCCAAATTCGAATGATCTAAATTCGGATTAATCCTGTAGTGTAGACATACCCACTGATCTCTAACTATTGGGTAGAAGGAAACTTTCCAGGGGGGTATATTACCCCATAACCGCCCTCTCTAGGTTTGTTTCTCTGAAGGAGCTGGTGCTGGCTGCTCTTGGAGACAGGATACTGGGCTAGATGGACCTCAGGTCTGACCCAGTCTGGCAGTTCCTGAGAGCGATGGAGCGTGCGGCAGGACAAGGGCGGCTAAGCACGGCCTGGGAGAGTAACTGCCAGGAGTCTGGTGGCACCTCCAGAACGCTGAGTGGGCAACAGGCACTGTCAGGTCTCAGCAAAACTTTGCAAAGCTGAATTCTCCCGGTCCGTGGCCTCTTTGCTCTGGTTGTAGGGCTGTGGGGCAGTGGCGCTGCATGGCAGAAGTGGGTTCCCTTCTAGAACGCAGTGGGGGAGCAGCCCTGTGAGTCCATCCCGCCCATCTCCTTGCTGGGGCTGGGCTCAGCCCCGCTGCCCCCTCACCCATGCCTTTTAAACATCACCCTGGGGTTTCCACCACTTTTCCCTGCAGACTCTGGGCCAAATTTGGTCCTGGGATAAGCAGTGATGACTCCACCTGAGTTTCACCTGCTTACAGCAGGCCTACACTTGGCCCATTCCTCTACACTGCTGCTCTCGCTCGCTCGGGTGCAGAGAGCAGCAGCCAGCCCAGCCCAGCAGTGCCAAAGACGAAGCCCTGGCTGGAGAACGGTCCCTCCCGCAGAGCTAGGCTTTGGCCGCGGCCAGGCGAAATGGCCCCTTTTCTTCTTTAAGGAGAGTGGGAGAAACCACCAGCCCAGCTTATCAAATTTGGCCATGTCTGAAAAGCCCTCATTTCCTTTTCACCAAAAAAGATCAAAACCGGGTAATTGGCTCCCAGTGCAGATGCCTCTGAGCCTCTCTCATGTGTAAACAGCATTTCCAAGTGTTGATACAATCCAGACTGCTGCCGCTGCAAAAGCATCCCAAGTATTCCCAAGGCGCAGATGACCGCAGAATGGCTGCAGGCTCTGGGACTGCTGTAGGAACTTGCCCTGGGCAATGGGGTGAGGAGCCTGTGCCCCGATGTGATCCCAAGGTGCCAGCGGTGGGTCCCTTCTGGTGGGGCCTATTCAAACACTTCCTCCTCCAGCGGTGTGGGACAGGGATGGTGGCCGGAGGTCTGGGATCATATGCTGGAGCCTCTCTAGGGGCTAGTCCCACAAGCATCCGGGTGTTAAGAGACAGGATGCACTTGGAGCCATATCCCTGAGTGTGCTACAGCCCCGGGGGACCGTTTCCTCGGTGACCTTCCTGCAGCATCCCCTATTGGTAGATACCTAGTGCTAACACCTGGTTGACATGTCACCAGCTGATGACCAGGAACAGCTGCCAGCCTTTGAGCTAGATAAGGGTTTGAGCCCCCGATTTCGCAGCACTCCAGATTGAGGCGTGTTTGGGTTCAGGCATCTGTCTCAGCCCATTAGAGGCAGAGGGGCCCGCTACAAAGTCTGGCTCTGATTTGAGTTCAGACTCTAGCGTTTGGGGGCATTTGATATGGGACCCAGCTCTGTATTAACAGTCCCCTCTGCTCTTGTGCGCCTTGCAATAAGAGAGACTACGCAGCAGTGCCCTGGCTGGCTCTAGCCCTCCTTGAGTACGGAGAAAAGCTTGAACACGTGACCTGAGTGCAGCTCAGGAACTGGAAGGCAAAGAAAAAGAACAACGTGTTGCTTTGATAAAATCTCCTGACTCCTAGAACGCTTAGGGCTGGTCATGCTGGGAGAGTCCCTTGTAGCCCAAAGGCTGCAGCCTGTGTTTTGGGAGCAGGCTATCTGGGTTCCAGCCCTGCAGTTGCTACAAGGTTTGAAGCAGTCCGGGTCTGCAGCAAAGTGACAGGGAGCTCAATTCTGTCCAGGTCCACTTGGAGCTGGGAAAGTGCTGGGGTGAAAGGTGCTTGAGGCACATCAGCTCTTGCTTATCATGAGGGGTGTGGGTGAGAAGGGAAGGAGGGAGAAGGGAAACCCCAAGGGACAGAGAAGAAGCCCACCTCTGCTCTCCAGCATCCACGCTAGGCTGAGGGAGAGGGCTGGCGATGATCGCCAGCGGGTGTCAAACCATTTGGCTTTAGGACAACACCATCTTGTGGCAAAACCCAGACATGACAACTGCGCACAGCTGTAGCTCTGCTGGAAACCAGACCCAGGCTCGTAGAGGGAAAGAGAACCTGCCCCACCCCAGGGTACAGATTCAGACCCTAATTCCTGGCCTGGCGGGAGCCGTGGTGGAAGGGACTCCTGGTCACGCTGCACCGCACGGCAGAGCACAGTGCAGAGACTGATACAATTGTCATGAACATACAACCAACCAAGCCAGTTCCTCCTGAAAAGGGCTGTGAAGACTTTTCACTGAGTCACGCAGCCAAGGGGGTGCTCCCGCTCCCTGTGGTTAGCATTAGACATTTATCTATCATCATCCAGCATTAAACTCACCGAGGAAGATACAGGGCAGCTTTCCTTACTCTCTGTCCTGAGGCCCCCGGGGACCCCACTTCTGCCTTGCTTGTTCCCCTGCAAACAGACCGGCACGACTCTGGAGGGCTCCAGCCCTTATGCACCATGAGCGTGTGTTTGTGTGCTGCCACAGCCACAACGGCCCAGAGCACCGCACGGGTGCTGCTTACCGGCAACTCCAAAGCCAGCCCTGCTTCTGGGTGCACAGGCAGGCTTCTGCTGTGCCTTACAAACACCTGCATTTCGTCGGGCGGATCCACTCCATTGTCTGCAAAGCCCTGGGGGAAGGGCAGGGAGGTTTTCAGAGAAGCCACTGATATGTGTGGTGGAAATGAACAACGTCACTTAGCCACTTCTCTGCCTCAACTGACCTGAGCTGGAAAGGCTGGAAGGCCTGGAGCCAGCTCTCTGCACCTCTCATCAGTCAGCCCAGGGGGCACCGTACCTCTGGGCAGGAACACTGGGGCTGCTCTGGGACCTCTGCTCATCAGAGGAGGAAAGCAGCTGGCTGGCCAAGCTCCCGAGCTGTGTCATGCACCAGGAGCCATCTCTCCAGGCCTGTCCCTTTAGGGCATATACAATACTGTGCCATTAGCAGGGCAGCTGGGACTGAGCTGTGACCCCCTCCCCCCCCCATCTCTCACACAGGCCACCAAACAGCTTCCAGATGAGACCTTCCACTAGCTACTCATCAGCTGAATCCAAACCCTCGGCCTAGAGAGGAGCCTCCACATCCCGGGAAGGGGGGCCATGACTGCAGTGTCCAGAGCCAGGACTAGAACTCAGGGCCCCTGCGCCCTGCCACTGCCCTACCCAGCCTGCACAACGCACACCACAGCCTCTCTGCATGGCACATCTACCCTTTCCAAAGCGCTCCCAGGGGACTTTGCCTTCAGCCTGGCCCGGTGCTGGGGCTGCAGGTATTTAAGCAAACACAGCCCGTAAGCTCATGCTGTCAGCAAGGTGCACGTGGGCCATGGGGAGCCCACGTTCCGCCTGCAGCACCAGACAACACCAGCCATTGTCCCTCTGTCAACACCCGTGCTGGCACCTGGGGGAAGCTCATTGTGCTGCCAGACCCACCCCCAGGCACTGCAGAGATTAGGGGCTGATGCTTTCCTTTTTAAATCGCCTGGCTCATCCTGTTCCCGTCACACTGCGGCCAGGAGTCTGCGAGTCGCCCTCTGCCATGGACTGGGCTCCATCCCTGGTAGGTGCCTGGGCTGCTTTCACTAAACTTGGTGCTTTTTATTTACGCTCTGTTTATTAAGAGCTGGGTGGGTTTGTTTGCTTTGGAAACAGGCGCTCTGCCTGGATGAGTTATTGCTCCCCACGCCTGGCATAGCTGGGACAAAACAGCCACAGAGCCTGTGGGCTGCAGAGATTCCAGTGCAAAGGGGCCAGCGCGATAGCTCCTGCCTGGAGAACGACTTGCATTTAGAGAGCTCCTTTCAGCCCCAAGGATCCCAAGCACTCCGCACATGTAGGAATCATGGCACTCAGCAATGAAATGCAGCCACCTCTGGGGTGGGGCATGGCAGCTGTTTATCTGGGCACAATGTCACGCCCCATGAGTTTAGGACAGGGAGTGAAGAAGATTCCTGTGTCCAGTTGCAACTGGGGACTATATGTAGAAACGGTGGCTTTGTTTGCTGTTGGGAAGCTTGCCCTGCCCTTTAAGGATGGAGCAGGCTCCTGCAGGAAGAAGTGTGAGAGACATTGCCAGAGAGCCCTGCCCTATGACTGGGCCAGAGACAGGAAGGGAGGGAGCAGAGGTGAATGGCCAAAGGGCAAAGCACTGGCTCACAACAGGCAGAGGAGAGACAACTCAGGTCATGTACTGTGCCAGGAGAATGGCATCTTTACAGGGTAGGTACCTCAGTAGCCCAGTTCCTGGGGGCTCAGGTACGCTGGCAGCCCCCTGACACCACAGGGAACAACCACGGAATGGAGTGCGGGGGAGACAAGGGGTCATAGTGGGAGGAAATCCAGGAGGGTTTCGCTAATGATTACATTATTCAGTATTTCTGCTCTAACGCACCTTTCAGTCCAAATGGTCTGCAAGCCCCTACACACATGCAAGTTCCCTACACACATGCAGCCACCTCTGGGGTGGGGGGCACACAAATAGTCCACCCAACAAAGCACAGCAGTAAGCTGGGGAGGGGAAGAGCATTTTAGTCAAGGGGTGGGGGGAATGGACATACCTTCTCCTAGCGTGGCTATAACACCCATACACAACAAACAGGGGCTGGGGGGCTAGCACTGAAGACACAGGAAGCTGCATACCTCCGAGAGATGAGGGCTCAGTCAGTCTCCCCTGGGGGTGCGGGCACTGTCCCTATCAGGGTTTGCAGGAGTATCCCAGGCTAAGCCTCCACTCAGAACACCGCAGTGGCACAGCGCTTCAGCAATGGGAGGGGTTCTCCCGGAGCAAATCCACCTCCCCCCCAGGGGGTAGCTAGGTCAACAGAAGACTCATCCATCAATCTAGTGCTGGCTACACCGGGACTTAGGTTGGTTTAACTACGTCGCTCGGGGTGTGGATCCTTCACACTCTTGAGTCATCTAGCTGAGTTGATCTAATGTTCTGCTGTAGCCCTGACAGGTACAACACCCAGAATCCCCCTCCCCACTTTTCATGACGACAAGCGGCCCGCTAGAGATGGCATCAGGGTGGGAATTGCAGATGTGCACCACACATCCCTGTGTCACTACCAGCCTTTGGCACGGCAGGGCATTCACCACTGACTTGCCGTGGGGGGTTTACCCTTTTGCATTTCACCAGTGAAGCTAGACTGGCCACTGTCTCTCCATAATCATTTCCTCCTCCAGGTCTCTGCCATGCCAGCCCTGCAAACGGTGGCTAAGGAAACAAACAGACCAAAGCTCTGTTTGCATTAGTCTTAGGGGAAAAACAGAGAGAAATCCCCATTAATAAACCGACCCGACATGGGGGCTAGTCCCCTCCCCCCAGCCTGTCCAGCTCACTAGGGAGTTTGTCCTGACTTTCTGCAAACGGCCTCCCCCCTCCATCATTTCAACACTCAGGGCACTTGCAACAAGCAGCTATTCAGCCAGCCTAGCTTTGGAACTGCCATCATGGTGCTCTCCCCACTAGCACGCTGGAAACGCTGCCAGCTGCTGGCAATTAGGAGCAAGGCTGAGCCAGTCAGCTGCCCCATGTACCCAGCCAGCATAGGGGGCACCTGAGGTTGCCACCTGACAGGATGTGCCTACAGGAAACACCACCCCCAGGAGCTTAGATTTCACAGGGCAATCTCCCCACAGACGTGATCATTGCTGGAATCCCCACCTGCGAGCTGTTACAAAGGAGAACCTGTCTCATTTGCCCCACTTTACTGAAGCACAGAGAGGTTGAGGTCTCACCCAGGGTCACCCAACAAGGCCGTGGCACTCAGGAATGGAACACAGGAGTCCTGCTGCCCTAGCCTGTTTTTACCACTAGACCCCATACTGCCTCCCTGCACTGATGCCCCTCTGGGAAGTTCCAGCTCTGGTAGGGTTGGCGATTCCTACGATAGAATATTGTTCCCTTTGAACATAACCTCCCTGGGCCCCGGCCCCAGCCCAGTATGGGCTGGGCGGAAGCATTCCCAGTGCTGGCGTCACGCCCTGTCTTGGCTTCCTTCTCAGCTTCTCTTCTGCGCTCTCTCCGTCTCCTTCACGTGGGCTGCTACCACCGAACCCAAGGACCAAAGCAAGGGAGCGAAAGGAAAGAGGAAAGGACCGGCTAGGGACAAGGTCCAGCTGCTGGAGGCCCAGGCACCCAGCCCCGACCCCATGCTGAAGAGGAACTCCATGGCCTCAGCGGCGGACAGCCCCTACACCCTGCTGGAGGATTACGAACAGAGCATCCAGGAGATGGTGAGCCAGCTGCGGAACAGCTCAGAGCCTGCCGACAGCAAGTGTCAGGTCAACCTGAGGCTCTGGAGGTCCAATAAGAGGAGTCTGTCTCCGTGGGCCTACAGGTGAGACTGCAGGGCAAAGCACCCCTGGGGACTGGCACTCCCAGGGTAGGGCTCTCACCAGCACCACAAAGGAACAGGGCAGGGCTCTGCTGTGAAGGGAACCTAATGGGCACTAACCAAGTGGGGAACACCTATGGATGCTGTTCCATGGGGCAGTGATTGCACTGGGTGAGTGATCTGCATCCCTGAGCAGCCATGTGTCCATTGCCCTATATGACCCTATTCCCCCATGTGTGGGCATTGCAACATGGGTGCCCACTGATTCATGCATGGGCATCCCCCCAATGCACAGGCAGAGCCCGGTGCAGGCTCATTTCTCCACGTGTGCATTATTGCAGCATGTATTCCCCCTTCCCTGTGTGCAGGCACTGCCCCCTCACAAACACACACTCGTCCAAGGCGCCTCCGTGTGGAAGTGGCCTGTACTCCTGCCCGTGTCCCCGCTCCCCCTACAGGCTCTGTCAGCCTCACGCTCTCCCTCTTCTCTAGTATAAACCACGATGCAACGCGGATCCCAGCAGACATCCCAGAGGCGCAGTGCCTCTGCACTGGCTGCATCAACCCCTTCACCATGCAGGAGGACCGCACCATTGTCAGCATCCCTATCTACAGCAAGCTGCCCGTCCGCCGGCTCCTGTGCCACCCCCCTGAGGGCTCGGGAGCCAAGACCCGCAGGAAGAAGAAGAGGTGCCACAAGGAGTACAAGATGGTCATGGAGACCATTGCCGTGGGCTGCACCTGCATCTTCTGAGGACAAGAGGGTCCTCTCACCCTCACTCCATGCTGGCAGCACCAAACCCCCGGCCTCTGTGTATGGACACCAGCTCCCGTCTAACCAGCCTCCTTCTCTTGCTGGATCCATTTGGCAAGGGCCCCAGCCAGTGCCCACCAAGCCTCTCCCTCAAGGAGGGGTGGTCAAGGCACAAGCAGTGTGTGTGTGGGGTGGTGGTGGTGAATCTGAAGCAAGGAGGCAGCTGCTTCGACTAGAGATGGTTTGCCCCTTTGCACCCACATATCCCTATCTGGCTCCAGCATGAGCAACTGCTGCAAGGCCCTGCTCTTTGGGGTGCCCCATGTGCCGTGCCAGCTCTGCAGCTTGCAGCAGGGCCCTGGAAGGAAAGCCATTCTGCAACCCCCTAGCCCCAAGCTAGCTCCTCAAGCAGAAGAAGGGGGGGGGGGGGGGAAGGGAGGGGGGAGAGAAGATGGAGATGTCTGCCATGCAGGGCTCCGCTTCTGCAAGGCTTGGGAGCTGTGAATGGCAACTGCCACTCCCCCTCCCCATGCCCCTCAAGACAGCACTTCAGCCCCATTGGCTGCCGCCTGTCACCTGCTCCCCTTGCTCAGCAGCCGCTCAGTTCTGGGCTCGCGTCCGCACACTTGCACTGCTGCACAGCCATTCGGGCTAATTGTCCCACCGAGTCCAAGGGGCCGCCCCTTCTCACAGCCAGGCAGCATGACCAGAAGGGAGGCAACACCTCATGGGCACCTCAGGCAGAGGCCGGGAGAGGCAGCCACTCCGGGCCTGATTTCCCCCTATAGCTCCCAGCAGTGCCGGCACAGGAGATCCACTCTGTGGCCAGGCTAGCCCTGCACCCGCCCCAGGTCTGCAGGGAGGGTTGTAGTTGATGGTGAGTACAATGCGCCCTGACCCCAGCTCCCTGCAGCTGATTCCACGACTCTCTGACCTGGTCAGGTATTGGTGAGAGCACAAGCCAGGGCTGCTGTGGGCCACTGCCAGCAGCTGATCATTGGGGAGGGGGCACGTCTGCTGAACCTAAGCTCCCAGCAGCAGATGCTGCCTGTGAAATTCCAGGCTCCCTGGCCCCTGCCACCCGTTCGGCTGCACCCAGCTGAGGAATGTGCCTTATCTCAGTGCCACCGGGACGGGGCCTGGCCCCACTGGAACACCCGATAGCAGTGTCCGGGATGGAGCAGGAAGCCTGGCTAGGTGCCAAGGGCCTAAGGGCTTCTGCCGCCTTCCAAGGGCAGCGCGTGCTAACGAGTGGGAAGCCCACCATAGAAATCACCCCTTGGGGAGGGGCAGCGCCCCCTGGAGAAGGCTGCCATGTCCAGCTATGCATGGAGCATAGTAGCCCCCCAGGAGCAGGGCAGGCGAGATTGGGGTCAGAAGACAGCTGGGAGTGAAAGGGGGGGCACAGCGTTGGTCTCTCACCCCAGGCAAGCCTGGTTCAGGTACGGAGCCAGGCAGCACAGGGAAGGGGCTGGTTCCTGGCTGGTCTTTGGGCACACCAGGACTACCCCTCAGCACAGTGGGAGTGTCAATCCCTCTCCCCTGGCTGATCAGAGCCCATCTCCCCTTTGCCAGCCTTTCCAACGCCCTCTGCTGCATCCATCAGCAGAACAAGGGCATCGACCCTGCTACTGCCCCCTCCCAGAGCAGGGGGTCTCCTGCAGCTACCGCTGCTGCTCATGGAGGGGATACTGAAAAACAGACAAAATCTGGCTGGGCCTGGTTCAAGTGGCAGTGTCTGCAGGATGAGCCTGAGCTGGGCTAACCTTCAGCAGCGCCACAGCCCTTCACACACACTGACCAACTCAGCCTCACAACCGGTATTGCGGTACCCATTGTACACACAGGGAAACTGAGGCAAAGAGGTGGCGAGGCTTGGCCAGGGCCCTGGGCCAGGCAGTCCTGGTACAGAGCACTAGCTCCCTCTGTTTCTACTGAGGAAAGTATTTCTCCCCCAAGGAAGGGTGATAGCCACCACCCAATCCCCACCTCAGTCACTGTCTCCCCAGAGCCAGCCCAGCTCCTCTGGGTACAGCAAGTAAGCCGCCAACCCGAACAGCTTGGGAGCTTTAACGGGGAAGGTCAGAAGGGAGGCAGGGCCCCTCGTGCCTTGGCCCTGCTGGAGCTGTGGTTGGCGAGTTACCTGCTCTGCTCTGCTCTGTAGTTCAGAGACAGCGCTGGAGGCTGACAATAGAGCACATCCCTCACCCGAATTTGCTGGTCACCACTCCTCAGCCAAACCAACCTGGCTCCTTGGCATTTACTTCTCCTCCAGCGCACCAGCCCCAGCGCACGGGCCACCCTCCCACAGTGGGGCTGGCCATTCCTCAAGGAGCCAGAAGGGGGTGCTAATGCTTTTCTTCTAGTCCCAAAAAACTGAACTCATCCCCCCCCCCCATTATTCCTCAGCCCCCCCTCCATTGGGGCTGCTGCTGGCCAGTTTCCATCTCTGTTACCACAGGGCCTATCCAGCCAGCAGAGCAGTCTCAACTCATCGGGGCCACAGGTCCGCCGTGGGCTGGTGGTTAAGGCTTGGTCTACACTTACCCCCCAAGTCGAAGTAAGGTACGCAAATTCAGCTACGTGAATAACGTAGCTGAATTCGACATTCCTTACTTCGAACTTACCGCGGTTCAGACGCGGTCCACACGCGGCAGGCAGGCTCCCCGTCGACTCCACGGTACTCCTCTCGTTGAGCTGGAGTACCGCAGTCGACGGCGAGCACTTCCTGGTTCGATTTATCACGTCCAGACCAGACGCGATAAATCGAACCCGGAACTTCGATTGCCAGCCGTCGAACTACCTGGTAAGTGTAGACCAGCCCTAAGACTAGGGAGGCCACATGGCTCTGGGCAAGGAGAGCTTTGACTCAGCTCACAAGCAGCTCTCAGCCAGGGGGCACCGCACATCAAATTTCTAGGCAGCACCAACAGTCTTTCCCTTCACTCATGGGGTCACAATGCCACGCATTGAAGTCTGGCCGAGCCATCCCTGTCTGACAGAGCGGCATCTGGGCCCAATTTCAGTGCGTGTTGTGATGGGGCATACGGGGTCTTCAATGCTGAAACTGAGAAATACTGCCCTGAACACTGGGTGGATATTAAGGGACATGCTTTTAAAAGGTTTTCTAGCCTTTGCACAGTTGGACAGCAGATCAAAGGATTGATTTACTTCAAGTAGAATCCCCTTTATTGGAATCAATGTATTAATGGCCCCAGTTCCCTCTAGATTACTCTGTTGGGTTTTTTTAAGGTTCAGGGGACATGATTCAAGAAAGGTTGAAAACCCGTCTTAAACCGAGCATCAATCCCTCTGCCCCAGGGAACCTGCCAAGGACCGCCAGCCGCTACAGCGCTTCCTGAGTGTGCGTTCAATCTGTCCCCAACGCATGGGCTTAGAGAGGCTAGCAAGGCCCAAAGGGGTCAGGGTTAGCGCTGGGAAAGGGGTTTGGACGTCATGCTTGTATAGAGAAGGAGGTGAGCGGGCCTTGTGTCTGCTGCAGCGTCGGCCCCTCTAGCTGGCAGCTCCCCCCTGTCCCTGCCCTGCCTGCGTTTAGAGGGGAGCTGATGGGCTTGGTTAACAAAGCAAGAGCAGCTCTGGGTGAGAAGCTGAGAGGGACCCACTAGTCATACGGACTCACAGCACAGACATGGTCGCAGCTGGAGAACCACATACCTGCCAAGACCTGAGCGTTGGGTCCAGCACTGGCCTTGCAAGGACTGAGGACAACCCCAGCAGCTAGAGCAAGGAGTCCGACTGCACTGCCAGCCAGGGGAGTCCTGCACAGGAAATGCTGGGGCCAGGCAGTTGCCTAGACTCAGCCCTGCTCTATAGGATAGCTGGGTCATACTAGAAGGTCCATATCCACCTCTGGATCTGTGCCCATGGTACATGGCCCCATATGGGTCAGGGCCCAAGGCATGTGGTCACATATTTTAGGCCCCATATCTGCTCTTGCCATCATCAGGTCTTACCCCTTGAAAGTTTCATGGGATCCCACGCTCGAGTCCTAGCAGATAAGTGACCAGAGAATGGATTTGCACATCCCACCTCCACCCCATCCTCAGCACTGGCCATTGTTAAGGATGCACAGCCCCAGCCCAACTTAGGATCTGAAATGGGTCCTGGCTGACAGTTCCCTGGCAATGAGCTTAGGCTCCCTCCTCATCCCCCCACCCCCACCCTGGCGCTGGCTGGGTAGGGAGGAAGCCTGAGCATTGATGCCTGTAGCAGGCACCTGGCATTAGCGCCACAGGGTGGTGCAGGGAGGGCGTTATTGAAGGCAACAACATACAAGGAACTCATTGGCCAGACCCTCCCCTCCTCTTGGCCAGAAATCCAGTGGTCTCTCCCCCAACGATAAACTCTCAGCAGGCTAGTAAATGAAGAGGCTCCTGGCCAGCTCCCCAGCAGCCCCCCTCGTGTCACAGTTCAGTCTTCACCTTATGCATCAAGTCCTTCTGGTCAATCTTCTCCAGGTCCTGGTACCACCGGTTGTAAGCCAGGAGTGCCACGTTCTTAGCTGCCACGGCAGCCATTTCCATGGAGCTGGCCACCCACTCCACACTGTTGAGGTAGAAGAGGTTGTCGTGGAGGATGATGGGCGGGATACTCTTGGTGGAGTCATAGTGGGGGTAAGCCTGCCATTCCGTCACCTGGACTGAATAGTAGGAGCGGAAGAGGGTCTTCAGCTGTTGCTTGTCCAGGGGCTGCTGGGAGAGGACCCGCCAGATGGCAGCCTCCTGGGGCTGCTTGCGCCGGAAGGCGCCTGAGATGTTGACGGGGCAGATGTTGTCCATGGCGTTGAAGAAGAGGTCGGGGGAGTCAGTGGTGAGGACACTAGCGAAGGGGAAAAGCTTGGGGTCAGGGAAGCCGAAGTAGGAGGAGTTGAGGTAGCCGTGGACAACGGAGGTGATGGTGGGATGGAAGGAGCCTGGGAAGTCAGTGATGGGGGGGTCAAAGTTCTCAAAGGTGATGTTGCTCCTGCCGGAATGCAGCGGTGTGGCGATAACCACCATGTCATAAAAGGCCGAGCCTTGGCCTTCGTCATCCTCGTAGCGCACCTGGTACAGGGCTTTCCCATCTGCAAAGGGACAGCACGGAGACTCAGTACAGCCACCAGCCCAAGGCCCAGAGCATTGTTTGCCAACAGCATTGGATTCACCACTGAGGAAGGTGGGGGCACCGAGAGCACAAGCCATAGCCAGGCAAAGCATTGGGCACGCTCCCCCCTCTCCATCCTGCCCTGCAGCCCACCTCAGCTCTGCCCTGCAGCTCCCGGCTATTCCAGTCCAGCCCCCCCGGACTCCCACTGTATCTCACTATTAAACTGCAACATCCCCCCCATGTCCCCATTCCAGTCCTGGAGAGTCACCTGGCAGATGGCAGAGCTGTCGGGCAACACAGGGTCACTGAGTAAAGGAGACAAACTGTGGCTGATCAATAAACATTCCCTTTCCCATGGCAGCAGATGGGGATGGGGCAACAGTCTCCCTCCCCAGCACAGACTGGAGAAACGCCGGCTGCCACAGAGATGCCAGAGCTCTCCAGTATTTCAGCGCAGAGCTTTGGATCCACACGCTAGCCTCACTGCACCCTCTGGTGTGAGAGGTCTGAACTGCAGCCTCCCATTTCACATCTCTCCCTTGCCATACACCTGTCCAGCCACACCCAGCTTGGTCTGGTTCAACAGACAGCCACAGCCAAAAGAAGGGCACCAGTGAAGTAGTAGGCAGTGCCAAAAACCAGGTGGGAGTCAGAGCGGAGTCTCACCCAACAGGCCAGGCTGATTGTCACACTGGCAGAGCAGCCCACCTGTGTATGACCCATAACAACTGAACTAGAGGCATTACAATTGTATCAGGACAATTCACTTATATGTGAATTACAAAGGATACATCTTCACTACCCGCCGCATCGGCAGGTAGTAATCGATCTATCGGGGATCGATATATCGCGTCTCATTGAGACGTGATATATCATTCCCCGAACGCGCTCCCCGTCGACTCTGGAACTCCACCGGAGCGAGCAACGGTAGTGCCGCGGCCGTCGATCCCGCGCCGTGTGGACCCCCAGGTAATTTGATCTTAGATACTTAGACTTCAGCTACGCTATTCACATAGCTGAAGTTGCGTATCTTAGATTGATTCCCCCCGCCCCGCCCCCCCAAGCGTAGACCAGCCCAAAGAGATGTACTAGACCAGCAATCACCAACTCATTCATTTGTAGTAATAGAAATCCAGGGCAGACGCTAAATGTGTTTGAGTACCTGTGCCCTGTTAGAAGTTTAACAATGTGACCAAATTAGTTTGTAGATGCTAATTCCCTTTCATGTTGTAATTGCTTTATATTATGTACACGGCAGTGTTCAGTTAACCTTAAGTTCAAAGATGTGAGACACTGCCGGGAACTAATAATATTACTTATGTTGTCTTCAGCTTATCTGTCTCTGTTATAACGAATGATCGGCTGTTGTCTTATAGTGTAACTAGATTACCTGTGTATGTATAGGAAAGAGAAAATTAACTTCAAAGCAGTGGTTCACAAAATACCTGCATTGCCTATTCTTCCTCGGCGGAAAGCCCTGCTGTGACAATTTCTGCGAGGAGGCTTCTCGGCTTGCTAGAGAGCTAAAAAGAGAAATCTCTGGCTGATCCTTTCATCTCTAGTCTGCTGAACTTTGAACAGGGAAAGTTTAAGTCGTGGGACTTAGATCTTCCAAATCACTATTTGGAAGACCCTGGAAAATGCCTGGAAAGACTATCAGACTTTACATCTAAGCTGCATTTGGATTCTAACCTTTTGGGATGGTTCCAGAGAGACTTTTACAAGCCAGCAGAGAACACATCACTGCTATGATTCTGATGTAGGAACACTGAAAATCACTTGTATGTAGACGATTCCTTAACCATTCAATAACTCTCTTCTTTTCTTAATAAATCTTTTGTTAGTTTACTAAGGATTGGCTGACAGCGTGATATTTGGGTAAGATCTCAATTATATTTTGACCGGAGAATAACTGTTTGATCCTTTGGGATTGGTAGAACCTCACATATGGTGAAATGGGTTTTCAGTAACCCCTCACTATATTAGAGTTGGTTGTCTGGCAGGGAGCCAAGGGCTGGAATGCCTTAGGGGGACTGTTTGGCTTCTGGTTAACCAGTGCGGTGCTACAGAAGCTCTTGTTACTGGCTTGGTGAATCTAATTATAGAATAAACTAGGGCTGTCGATTAATCGCAAAAATAAAAAAAAATAAAAAATAACTGCGATTAAAAAAATTAATCACACTGTTAAACAATAGAATACCAATTGAAATGTATTAAATATTTTTGGATGTTTTTCTACATTTTCAAATATATTGATTTCTATTACAACACAGAATACAAAGTGTACAGTGCTCACTTCATAGTATTTTTTATTACAAATATTTGCACTGTAAAAATGATAAAAGAAATAGAATTTTTCCATTCACCTCATACAAGTACTGTACGGCAATCTCGTTATCATGAAAGTGTAACTTACAAATGTAGATTTTTTGTTGTTGTTACATAACTGCACTCAAAAACAAAACAATGTAAAACTTTAGAGCCTACAAGTCCACTCAGTCCTACTTCTTGTTCAGCCAATTGCTAAGACAAATAAGTTTGTTTACATTTACGGGAGATTCTGCTGCCTGCTTCTTATTTACAATGTCATCTGAAAGTGAAAACAGGCGTTCGCATGGCACCTTTGTAGCCAGCATTGCAAGGTATTTACATGCCAGATGTGCTAAACATTCATATGCCCCGTCATACTTCGGCCACCATTCCAGAGGACATGCTTCCATGTTGATGATGCTCATTAAAAAAATAATGTGTTAATTAAATTTGTGACTGAACTCCTTGGGGGAGAATTGAATGTCTCCTGTTCTGTTTTACCCACATTCTGCCATATATTTCATGTTATAGCAGTCTTGGATGGTGACCCAGCACATGTTAGTTTTAAGAACACTTTCACAGCAGATTTGACAAAACGCAAAGAAGGTTGTGAGATTTCTAAGGATAGATACAGCACTCGACCCAAGGTTTAGGAATCTGAAGTGCCTTCCCAAATCTGAGAGGGATGAGATGTGGAGCATGCTTTCAGAGGTCTTAAAAGAGCAACACTCCGATGCAGAACCTACAGAACTCGAACCACCAAAAAAGTAAATCAACCTTCTGCTGGTGGCATATGACTCAGCTGATGAAAATGAGAATGCGTCCGTCTGCTCTGCTTTGGATCGTTATCGAGCAGAACCCATCATCAACATGGGCACGTCTTCTGGAATGGTCGTTGAAGCATGAAGGGACACATGAATCTTTAGCGCATCTTGCGATGCCGGCTACAACAGTACCATGCGAATGCCTGTTCTCACTTTCAGGTGACATTGTAAACAAGATGTGGGCAGCATTATCTCCTGCAAACTGTAACCAAACTTGTTTGTCTGAGCAATTGGCTGAAGTAGGACTGAGTGGATTTGTAGGTTCTAAAGTTTTACATTGTTTTATTTTTGAATGCAGTTATTTTTTGTACATAATTCTACATTTGTAAGTTCAACTTTCATTATAAAGAGATTGCACTACAATATTTGTATTAGTGTAGTGGGTGAATTGAAATATACTATTTCTTTTGTTTTTTACCGTGCAAATATTTGTAATAAAAAATAAATATAAAGTGAGCACTGTACACTTTGTATTCTGTGTTGTAATTGAAATCAATATATTTGAAAATGTAGAAAAATATCCAAAAATACTTAAATAAATGGTATTCTATTATTGTTTAACAGTGCGATTAATTTTTTTAAATTGAGTGATTAATTGCGATTAATTTTTTTAATCGCTTGACAGCCCTAGAATAAACCACCAGTTTTGTGGAGTGTCTGCCCTGTGTGCAGCATTCTCAGTGTGACCCATCCCAGGCACCCTCACATCGATGCTTTACGATACCATGACAGCACAGGGAGAAGGCATCCACCCAAACCTAACAGATGCAAATGGGCAGAGCAGGGGGAAACAGGAAAGGCGGAGGGCTGGGGGGTGGCAGAGTAGAAGGGAATCTGAGGCCTCTCAGCCCTCCACATCCTGCCATCAGATCTGCTATTTTCTGCTCTCTGCTTTCCCCATTGCTCTGCTCATGCCCCTCAATCCAGAGGCAAAAGGGGAATGCACTAGTCCTACAGATATCCCTACCCCACTGAGGCCCCTAGCCTTACAGACTTAGCCCCCGCCCCACTGGCAGATATACAATCCCCAGTGTCAACTTCCCCTCCCCACCCCCCACGCAGGTAGGAGCCAGAAGGCCCAGCTGGCTCACCTGAGCTGTGCAGAGAGACACCTGTCACCCTGGCCTGGATCACGTTGGCTTTAGTTAGCTTCAGCAAACCCGAACATACCAGCTTGTTGCCGCCTTCCACAGCCCACGTATTGCCCTGAGCCCCTGCCAGCGACATGGCCCCTGGGAAAAGGAACAGTGGGGATTAGACTCCATTTGCAGAAGGGACACATTTCCCTAGGACGCCTGCTCCCGGGGGAGATACATGCTTGTCTTTGGCTTCAGATGTCCCAATGGCAGAGCGTCCCCAAGTCCACTGAGCAGCACCAGCTGCTGGCTCCAAGGAGGCTCCTGGGGCCTTTGCAGGGCAGAGCATGAAGGCGGCACTGGCATGACCAGCTGGGCCTCACCTGCAAAGGCGGGCACGAGCACTGACTGGCCGTAGCTGGAGCGCAGGACGGCTGCGATGACGTCGTCGATGAAGCGCTGCGTGACGCCCACCTCCAGCAGGGACTCGGCCACAGAGCGCTGCGTCATGTTGATGAAGGTTTCGCCACCCAGCGAGCGCAGGAGCTCCTCCAGGTTGGAGAAGGCATAGCCATGTGCCTGGTACTTGTAGATCCTGCAGGAGGTGAGTAGAAAGGGAGTCAGGAGCAGCGCACACACCCATCCTGGCCCCTGTACCGAGCCTCTCTCAGCTTGGCCACCTGGTGACCGAGTCCCCTGGGGGATCGGGCATAGCACCCAGCCTGGGGCCGAGAGGGGGAAGGCCACACCCACTCCCTCCCCTCCCAGAAGCACTGATGCTGCCGAGCCGTCCCATACCTCATGAACTTCTCCATCACCTCCTCCACCCACATCTGCAGGCGCAGGAAGCTGATTCCATAGTGCCACCAGAGCCGGAAGAGGTTCAGCAGGTACCAGTCCGTCTCCTCCAGGACAAACTGCTCTCCACTGAAGATGGCGCTCTTCCCTGCCACCTCTCGTCGGTGCTTCAGGCCTGCAGAGGGCGACAGAGAGAGAAACTAAGTCAGCCATCCAGAGCATGGGGGGGGCCACGTGACGACAAGCCTTCGCTGTATACACTGATACTGCTGATGGGCCCAAGTGCTGGCGAGCCCACAGCAAAACGCCCCTGTGTGGGGGGCGGGGATGGGGTGAAGTGTCAGGATGTAGATCCAGATCTGGATTTTGTCACTGGCTCTTCTCTCTATCATGAGCTGAACCAAACCCTAGGTCCCAACAGCCCCAAACTCAGAGAACTAGAAATCTGGGTGGGCCCAACCCTAATTACATGCACAGTGTGAAATTCCATGGGCTCTTTAGGATCCAGGCTCCCTGGACAGACATGACCTGTTAGAGGGATGTCACGAATTAGGGGCACACACTGCTTCTCGGTTGGCTGAACAGAAAACAGATCATGACTCTTAGACACAGTGACAGAAACTCCTGCTCCTCAGTCCTCAAGCATTGCTCCCACTGATGCTGCACCCAGAGACTGGCTTCTATCAGGTCCACTGCAATGCTCCTTGATCCTGCCCACAGCCCCTGTTCCTCCAAGCCCAAGTCCCACAGGGCCCCTGTCGTGCCCCTCTGCTATCCCAGTCCTGAGCCCTGTGATGTCCCTCAGGACGAAGGAGTGATAGGGCTCGAGTGTAACAAACACAGAGGACAGGCTGTTGGCCACTCTCCAGCCCTGCAACTCCCTGGCCCTCTAGCTCAGAATGAGGGACACAGCTCACGCCAGGGTCTATCTACGCTCTGCCTTGGGTCGAGCAGTCAGGGAGCAGAAGTGCCGACGACACCAGCCCTTTCTGAAGGGGATTCAGATCATCACGTTGGGATGTCACATCGGTCTGGTGGGTTTGGCGACGCTGAGCCCCCCATCCTCACCGCACTCATGATTGGGAGCTAAGCTAGGTGGAGGCCTAGCTGTTTGGAGGGGAGGGGAATTTGTGCTGCAAACATCCCAGCCCTGCAGGCTGGAGCAGGTGGTTTCTCCTGAGGAGCAGGGTCAGCACCAAGAACCTTCTCTTCCCAAGCTCCAGGGAAGGGGCAAGGACAGAGGGGTTCCCACCCACTCCCTGTGTGCACCAGAGGGGAGGGGCAGCACTCACCCAGGAGCTTGACGAAGTCCTGCATGTGCAGGCTGAGCGAGTGGATAGAGGCGCCACCGCACTCGTACTGCTGCTTGTTGACGATGATGGTGGCCAGTCGGCCCCCCTCACTGCCCTTCTCATATACGTCCAGCTGCACCTGTGGTCCAAAGTGCTGCTGCAAGAAGTAGGCCACTGCCGAGCCACCTATCCCGGCGCCCACCACGGCTGCCAGGGGGAAGGCAAGGGAAATAGGCCTGTTAGACACGATGAATGTACCCGCAGCTTTCACCACGGTCACAACAGAGCGGAGCAGCACATCTGCTTTCACAGGGAGACGCAGCGTGTACAGAGGGGACCCCAAAGCTTGGCCTATCCCCACACATCGCATCAGATCAAGAAAGCACAGCCTCTGTAACGTGAGGCCTTGGGATGGGCTTGAGCAGTGGCTAGGACTCCCCAGGCAGCAACTCTAAGGTACTCAGCTCCTAGTGAGCCGGCAAGAAGGCTAGGATCAAAATAGAACTGGTCCCAGACCTGGGAAGGACCGAGGAACCTGAGTGATGGGGATAGATGAGGGAAACTCCACGTGAGGGGACAGCAAGGGTCAGAGGGGTCCGTTACCAAACGCCAGACACACTCAAGTGCAACAGAGCAGCATCAGCACAAGCCATCAGCAGCCCGAGGGCCTTTCCCATCTAGAGACTAATTCAGCTAAACAACTGCCTGGACACATGCTACAACCCGGCCCGGGCCGGGGGGGGGGGGGGAGGGAACAGACATACACAGGAGCAAACTGCCACCAGGTGGGCATATGTCATCTGCCTGGGGCACACTCAGCAGATCAGTCCCAATCTCCTGTGCAGCTTGAGGGCTAGTTTTGCCACAAGCACAACCCTTGTGAAGGGCACTAAGCAAACCCGGCTCGCCAGGTCTGTGGCACCCTAGCCCCTGAGAACTGGAATGCTCTGAGTTATTTCTTCTTTTACCCCCCAGGTGAAAGGAGTGGATTCAGGATGAGGGAGAGACCTGCTGCCTGGAACCAAGCACAGCACAGGCGAGAGCTGGGCAGGCTTCACCCACGCACCTCAGTCCTGAACAGCTGCATCCATGGATGTAGTTTGGGTGGGGCATGGAGAGTTCTGCCCGCCTCCCCCATCCAAATTGCAAGCCTCAGGCAGGTGCAGAATCCCCCCCACACACACACAGGGCCCCATCAGCCTGGCTGGAGCTGCCCCCTCCATATAGAAGTCAAACTAAACCAATGGCTGCACCCCCTCCCCGGGCAGGCCAGCACTGAAGGCCACAGCTCTGCAATGCTTCACCACCCTGATCTCAGCAGCCCTTGTTGCTCCTGAACCCTGGCCCTCAGCACCCGCTGCTCTTCCAAGGCTGGGTTCTGCCCCCCTCCAGCACTGCCAATGCCTCTTAGCCCCCTCGACCTGCAGATTCATAAGCCCTGCCACGCCTTGGTCTCTTCTGATCAGTGGCTGGCTGGCCGGCCGGCCTCCCCACCCCATTCATCTTTTCTACTGTCGTGATCTCAGTGACTCTCCTCCATTCTCCAGGGAGAAGGAGCAGCGCCTACCTATTTTGCCAGGCGGGGCATCCCCTGCTGCAGCCGAGGAGGGACCTGCCAGCAGCACCCCCATAGCAATAGCTGAAAGGAGCCGCATTGCACAGGGCAGCGGCTGCGGCTCAGCCATCATGGATGCTGGAGGGGAGCAGGAGGCTGCACCTAGCAAGAGACAGAGAATGCAAAAATACAGCGCGTGCAATCAAATCAGCGCCAGCCACGCTGCCCCCGGGCCAAGGGGGAGCAGCCACACCCCAGCGGGCTGAGTACAGGGCCCTCGGTACGTCTCGCTGCTCCTGCCAGAGGCTGCGCGGCTCTAGGTGCGGGAAAGGCAGCCCAGCCCCCCCCCGCTCCGTGCGGCTGATCCCAGGGTGCACTAGCCCCGGAGCCTGCGGAGGGGCCTTCTTAAAGGGGCCGCGCACCGAGAGCAAACGCATTGCCGTGCCTGCCTCAGGAGAGCGCCCGGGCTCGGTCCCGCTGCAGGTCAGCCGCCAGTCCCACCGAGGCGCTTGGGTCCCTTGTGTCCCTCTCCAGCTTGCCGCGAGCCCCGTAGAATTCAACGGGGATGGAGCCGGCTGCTAGCTAGAGAAATGCACCTGTGGCCCTGATCCTGCACTGAGCTACCTGTGGACACGGGGCCATTGCAGTGGAGCTCATTGGCAGATAGGGGCCTATGAGAGAGGGCTTTCTCCCCCCCGCCCCCTTAAAGCCAGATCCTGCAGCTAGATCCCTGTGGGTGGACCCCTGAGTCCATGTAGAGAGGGGGACCGGCTGTCCTGATTTTATAGGGACAGTCCCAATATTTGGGGATTTTTCTTATATAGGTGCCTATTACCCTCCACACTCTGTCCCGATTTTTCATACTTGCTATCTGGTCACCCTACATGTAGAGCCCCAGAGAAATCATTGGCGCTCTATGCTGCAGCTAGCACAGGGCTCTACCCACCCACATCCAGTTGAAAGATCAGGGCCTTCTGTTCTACAGTGACATCCCCTTTCCCTTATGTGCATAGTCAGTTTCACCCATTGCACCTCTTGGTTTGCAAACATGGCAGGGGAACCTGCAAAATAAATAAATAAAATTAAAATAAATAAATAAATACAAAGTTTCCATCAGAATTAAGAAAAAAGGAAATACAGCAACGTCCAATTATCCGAATTCCCTTGATCCCCAAATTCTAGTTATCCAAATCCACAGTGCGTCCCCCATGTAGCCCTCTGTTAGTTAATAGCCCTTCCATGTATCTGACTGCGTGGTTACCCAACAGTTTGGGATGACCCCGAGCACATATGGATAAATGGCAGTGTACTGAATGTCTTGGGTTGGGGTCTGTACAGTCTGAACATACTTAGCCCTGTCTCTTTAAAGTAAAAATGATGCAAAGAAAATGACGTGTTAAGAACGCCCGAGGCGTTGTGGGGCACTCTGGGAAGTAGCGGCTGGGAGCCACCCCACACCCTCCTCTATGAACAGCTCATGATTCCACATGCACTCCCAGCTGCTTCCTGCCTACACGTCCATTCACGCTGTGGCAAACGTCCCCTCTCTCTGCAGCTTCAGGTGATGGTCCTGGCAAGTCAGAAGGTAGAGCCGGCGTCCACCTTTCCGAAGGGACACTAGGGACAGGCAGTCAGGAATTCAGTGTGCTCAGCAGCAGCCCCCTAGCACCAGTCAGGCACTCAGGCAGGGGAGTTGAGAGCAACATGCATCCCTATGGGGCAGGTGCCCTATACAGCCTGTGCTCTGCTGCTGCAATTCTGGACTGGTAGGCAATGCAGTAGGCTACCCCCCGACTTTTGCCTTTGGAGAGCAGCTTCTAGGCCAGCAGTGAGATGAACTGGGCAGGGTTAGTGGACATTTTATCCCCTGCCTCCACACACAATTGGGTTATTTTAGCCTGATTATCAATCTCTGCCCCAGTGAGACTCAGAATGATAGTGACAGGGTGAGAGGAAGTATGGCAAGAGGGAATTATTCCTCCCTCTCTCTAAGGTATTTAGAGGCTCCAGTCTCTATAGCATCGAGGCAATACATTGAAGGTGTGCTACAACAGACCAGTTCAGATCCCGTTGTCTTTGGGAGCAGGGAGAATGTCTCTGCAGCAAACCTCACCCTTTACTTACAGCTGACTGAAAGACTCCAGCTTACTTACAAGCCTCCATGAAGGAGAGATGTCTGTTCCCAAAGCTCTGCCCAGAACAATTAGCATGTGTCTGACCAGCAATGGCAGCTGGGACTTGTTGTCAGAGCAGCAGCTAGGTTAGAACATTCATCTTTCTATCTGCTATCATAATACTCCATCCAAAGCACAGAGCATCTAGTGCTCTGCTGCCCTCTACAACCCTTCTCTGGAAGGACAGCCTTGATTTACTCCATGTCATCGGAAGTCAGAGTAGTGGTTGACAAACTTGGACATCAACCTTTAATGTTCTTTCCAAGTTGCAACACAAAAGAGCCGTGGGTGGAGAGCTCCAGCTTCCACCTGCCATACTTGTAAAGCCAGATAGGGGAAGAGACACATACCCCTAGCAACAGGCCACGCAACTCCACACCCTCCAGTCACCTTACCCATCTCTCCCATTCATGAGGCCCACTGCTAGGGCCAGAAGGAACTTAACCCAAAACCACACAAAGGAAATGGAGATTGAAGAATGTTAGATTTCCATGTCCTTCCTTCTCGGTCAGGTATGCGGCTCTGGGGTGTGGCTGTTGGAGGAGAGTCACTGATGTTTATAGGGGGACTTGAAATGTTGAGAGGGTGGGAAAAGAAAGTTACCTGTAGTACAGAAAGCACTATCCCAAACCTTCCTTTCCCACCCCCTTGCTACTGAAATCTGGTTGAGGAAAATTGAGGCAGTTCATGTGGTGGGGCCCTGGGTATTGTTTTCCCAGTCTCCTAGGGGATGTACAATACTTTTTATCTTCAGAAAGACATGGTGTGAATTCAGCACTTTGTGAAGATGCCAGATTGACAGCCCTGGAGACAGAACAAGTTCAACTTAAAGAGGGGCAGCTTCCATCACACTGTCCCCTGCCTCCTTCCCAGCATAGGAATCAACTCCAGCTGGGCAGAAAGGGGAGTCCTGTCTCCCTGGCCCATTGACCTTTGGCTTCTTTGCTGAGACTGCCAACAAGAATATCAATCAGTGCACATTGCGGTGTGTGAACTGGACCCATGTCCACTAGCTACTAGACAGACTCCCCTGCATCACTCAGACATCACCCCAAACTCCTATTACACAGGCCATCAATCAGCCATCAGATGGGAACAACTTGGTGGGCTGGGCCTGGCAGCCAACCCAACTTTGAACTAGTGATTGAAAGCGAGTGCACCCCCCTTGAACGCCTCTATGTCACAGAAACATCTCTATGCCTTCATCGGCATGGCCCTTACACATGGAATGGTCTTCGTTATGGCTGCTACCCTCTCCCCCTTTAAAATCCACTTCTACTGCTATGCTTCTAAGAAGTCAGACAGGCAATGCAGCTATCATTAACTCTGTAACCCCCGACTGTATTCTCATTCATGTCCTCCCTCCCCACTTCTCTACGGTTCGATGCATTCACTAGAGTTATTTTTAATTAGACTACAAGCTCACTGGGGTAGGGACTGTGGGTCTGTACAGTGTCTGCCATAGTGGGACCCTGCTCCCAATAAGGCCTTTGGCTGCTACCACAACACTAATAGTGAAGGCCTGTTTGCATGCCCATTAACCCTGCAGATCCCAAAGCCCTATGAGATAGAGTGCAAGCTGGATTCTAGAGTGACTCATGCAACAGTGGCATTGCTGACTAAGTTTCAATTGTACACTCCACCCTAGGCAAGTCAATGATCCAGTTTCTATCCCATAGATAGCTCAAGGGTGGGGGTGGGGTCGGCACTAGGAGTTGGAATTTCTAAACTGGAGCACACTGGATAGGAATCAGTGCAACAACCAACCAGAACCCTGCAGCACCATGTTTATGTCATCATTACAGTGCCTAGACAGAGCAGTACACCACACTGGAGGCATGGCATGGCCACCCAGGAATAGCACTTTGCACTGAGAGGCAGGAGTCTCAAGCTCCACTCCAAGCCACACAATCTATAGTCTGGGTGTTGCTCTATAGCGAGATGGTTGGTCTCTGGAAGGAAAACAGCTACAGGCAAAAGGTTTTGGTTGGAGGAAACAGGCCTGAGAATTACCTCTGCTCAGCCATATCCAACACCAGAAAGGCAAACGTATCAAGCCAGAACTGCTATCCTAAGAACCACTTAGTGCAAAGCAAAATAGAGATGCACCATTACCTAAAGAACAGACACTTCTGCAGTCTGCTTCAGAGTTCTCTAAACCAGTGGATCTCAAACTTTCCAGACTACTGTCCCCCTTTCAGGAGTCTGATTTGTCTTGCATACTCCCAAGTTTCACCTCATTTAAAAATTACTTGCTTACAAAATCAGACAAAAATACAAAAGTGCCATAGCACACTATTACTGAAAAAAATAGTCTCATTTTTACAATATAATAAAATAGATCAATTGGAATATAAATATTGTACTTACATTTCAGTGTATAGTATATAGAGCATATATGTCATTGTCTGTATGAACGTAAGAACAGTCATACTGGGTCAGACCAAAGGTCCATCTAGCCCAGTATCCTGTCTTCTGACAATGACCAATTCCATGTGCCCCAGAGCGAATGAACAGAACAGGTAATTATCAAGTGATCTATCCCCTGTTGCCCATTCCCAGCTTCTGGCAAACAGAGGCTACGGACACCATTCCTGCCCATCCTGGCTAATAGCCATTGATGGACCTATCCTCTGTGAATTTATCTAGTTATTTTTTGAACCCTGTTATGATCTTGGCCTTCACAACATCCTCTGGCAAGGAGTCCCATGGATTGACTGTGCGTTGTGTGAAAAAATACTTCCTTTTGTTTGTTTTAAACCTGCTACCTATTAATTTCATTTGGTGACCTCTAGTTCTTGTGTTATAAGAAGGAGTAAATAACACTTCCTTATTTACTTTCTCCACACCAGTCATGATGTTATAGACTTCTATCATATCCCCCCTTAGTCATTTCTTTTCCAAGCTGAAAAGTCCCTCTCCTCATATGTAAGCTGTTCCATGCCCCTAATAATTTTTGTTGCCCTTTTCTGAACCTTTTCCAATTGCAATATATCTTTTTTGAGATGGGGCAACCACATCTGCACACAGTATTCAAGATGTGGGTGTACCATGGATTTATATAGAGGCAATATCATATTTTCTGTCTTATTGTCTATCCCTTTCTTAATGATGCCTAACATTCTGTTCGCTTTTTGACCTGCCATTCCACATTGAGTGGATGTT